ATTTAGAAAAGAGCGTTTATTTTATAATAGAATAAGCGAGTAAGTAAAGCGATTTACCCATAAATAGTGATCAAGCCAGAAGGCCAAGCGAAAGCGTCTTTAAAGCCACACCAAAAATATTTAAGGCACAACTTCAAAGTTTCTATAAAAGACTCCATCAAATGTTTTTACATTTGAAAAGAAAAGTTTTCTAGTAAATTTTTTATGAACAAACGCTGAATCGATCATAAGAACTGGATTTATTGATGTCACGAATTACTGGCTTGCCGATCACACGCTAACTAAAGTTGTAATACTATTGGTAAACGGGCAAGTATAAAAAAAATTATATTTTAATTTCTTATTACTGTTACAGATCCCATACATCAAAACTTCGCCATGTGGTAAAATAAAATAAAGTCTTATGCATAATAAATACATCACACATAATAGAATATAGAAAAATCGGATTTGGTATTTAAGTTATAACTATGAAAATAAGTTTTTTTTTTTGCTTTTTTACGCTTTTTTTTTTCTTTTTTCTCGGATGCCCGGGCGCAAATTACGTACGTACGTGATTAAGAATTACGTATTGCGTAACATACCAGATATTGATATAAAGCAAAAATTGTCAGCGCATAATCATGCATGAATCATGAACATTACACGAATAGGATAAATAACAATCGGAAAACATTTATACAATACAGTACTGCAGTACTTCCGAAGAAATCTAAGGATCATCAGTCTTGTATCACAAATCACCGAAGTGCAATTAACAGTCTATTTTACTGGTGGAGTCGAAAGATGGTCAAAATATAGATTTGCAATTCACATTCGTACCATGCGCGTGATACGAATCATACGCCAAGTGAAAGCTTTCCCACGTATAAGCGTATTGGTGATTTTCTCACTTACACAAATCTTAACGGTTCACAATGTTTAATGTTTACATTACTGTGATATGTATGAATCAATTCCAACAAAATCGAAAACATTGCTAAGAACAAATCAAATCCATGCAAAATTAATCCGTTACCAAACTTTGGAACTTAAGTGGCTTTAAAATTTTAAAATTTAGGTTTTGTAAAAATTGATCCATATTTTTATTACATTAAATAAAAAAGACCTAGAATACAAAGTATTTGATAGCTTCGCAGCTGGGAACAATTAAAGTGAATGATGGCTTTATGGAATCTTAATCAGAGCCGTAAGACCAACATAGTTCGAAAAAGTAATTGCATTTTGAGTTAGACAAAGGCAATTAAAATAAAAACATTACACGATGGAAAATTTTAACCAAATTTTTTTGTTAAACAATACAATAAATAAATTAATGAATTACTGAACTTACAATTTATTGTAAACAAAACAAATCTAGTGAGACGAGTCTTTTTCTTTTTCTTTAACTTTTCTTGGATGATTACTAGCAGCCGATTCGGTGGCTGTGTTAGCACCACCAATCTAAACGAAAAGAGCAAACATCATTATTATAAAAGAATATTTATGTGAAGCTAGTTTACAAATTTAAGATGTTGAATAACTTACTCGAACATGGTTGAATTTTGGTAACACCTATTATAAAGCATAAAATTAAATTATTATTAAATTATCGTTAAATTATTATTAAATTGTCAAGATAATCGATTTTAATCAAAATTTCCTTGTAAAGTTTACCTCGCGAAGATAGTCTAAGTGGCGAGCATGTAAACTTGATTGTTGCTATTCGAATTTTTAGAATTTCAATGGGTAAAATGCATTCCATATTGTTATTTTGAATAAAATAAAGTGTCTTTATAAATTATACGTGAGACCCGAAACCAAACTTACCTGGGACTAGTTTCGGAAAATACACTCCGAAACTCAAAACATAATTTTGGGTATTGGAAATCCGAAACCCAAAATTATATTTTGAAACTTAGATTTGGAAAACCCCAAAACTTTCAGAAAATTTTTCGGATCACAAGTATACAATAAATTAAAATTATTTATTAAAAACTTACGCTTGCGCATGCTGTTTGAGTTCTCCGATTATGATGATCACCGTATATAACAGTATTATTGGGAATTGCTTCATCCCTCTTGGTTGAGCAAACGGCACCAATAACGCAATTGTCTCCTAATGACGTATTCCCCAAAATTCTCGCTTTTTAAAAGTTCACATAAATAAAATTAATCTATATAAATTTTCGACATAAAAACGGTGATATAGATTATGGAGTTACCTTTTGCTTCTATTACATTTTTATTCCCAATTTTGGATCCTTCTACATCTAATATTTATTCAACATAAATGAATATCCAAAAGGCAAAGAAAATTTATGACCGAAAAATAATTTAAAAAAATTACAGCATCCAACTTCAAAGACATTTTCATCACCAATAATTAAAGGTGTCGGTTGTCTGAAATAATTGATGTAAGTATCGTGAATATAGTGAATATCGTGAATATCCTTGTGTAGAATGTTTGAAAATATGTTACTTGTTTATAATCGTCACATTTTCTTCTATAATGTTGTTTAAACCGATAATAATCGGGCCTGATTCCGCAAGAATCTTACATTGAGGGTGCAAGACAGTTCCTAAGTAGCCAACATCCTAATTCTAAACGTGTTCGTTCTTGGAGGAGATAAAATATTCAAAACATTCTTAAATACCTGAACCTTTAAGATTTAAACGAGCGTTAAAAAGGCAACTACCAGAAATAGGCGTACTCAACAAAATAAACTGTTAATACCTATATCAATTTCACCTTTCATTTCAGTGTCTTGGCACACGACAGCCCGTTTTCCGATTACAAAATGTTCTCTGCCATATTAGAATAAATTATAGTCAATTCACAAGAAAACTTTCAAAACTTCTTCAAACGATAATTACTTTGGCATTTTGTTATTTTCTTCCTTTCGTTTCAATTATTCCAATTATCCAACTTTCTAAAAGTAAAACTTAATTAGAAACCACTGATTTCTAAATGTATAAACTTGGAAACGACAAAAGAAAAGAAATTGGCAAGACTCTTATTCCAAGAATACAACAAGCAAGGTCTATTACTTGTTATACCAATAGAGTTAAGTTCTTAAACCTACTCGCACAAGAGACCACGAGTATCGAAGCAAAAGAGGGAAATATAAAGGGGAAAATATCTACTTGGGCCAATTACATAGCGCACCAATGTAGAAGACCGGCCAAGATCCCAAAGTGTCTAAATTAGACGAGACTTAGCGCACAGTCAGAACAAGTATACACACCTTTAAAATGACAGCAGGATAAACAACGAGAAAAGCAACAATTGAATTTTAAAACAAATACCGTAGTGCACTGACCAAAGTACCCGGCGTGACAAATAATGCAGATCAATTTTTTACAATATTATTTATATGTGA